TTTTTTAAATTCGGTCAGGATTTTTCGAAATACAACCATTTTAAATTTTCGAAAATTCCCCTTTTTTCTCTCCATAGCCCCGAAAATATAAGTTTGCGCCAAAAAATTGGTATACCATTAAAATTAGAAAAAAATGGTGGACCACGCCCACTTTTTCGTTTTGTCTAGCTAAACGAGCCGTATTCTGCAATTGTTCCTTATGACATACTATGTTTTTGTTTAAATGTAAAAATATAAAGCATCAGCGTCTTAATTTTAAAAGAGAACTCCATGGTCGGTGTGAGTTAAGCCGTACACAACCTTGTAATCCTTATGTAAAAGCCGTTGGTAAATGCTTTGGAGTCTAGAAACGTCATAACCCTAGTAAACAGCTGTTTGCCGGACTAGCACTTCACGAATTCGTGAAATGATGGCGAAATTCATGGTTAATTTTCGTGTATAATTGAATTCATGAAATTGTGTTTACGCAGCCAATTTTAACCCAAATTTGTGAAATGATGCCTTGAATTGGCCTACGCATAAACGTAGTATAAGTCTATGAGAACAGTATTTTAACTTTTTTTCTGGGGAACTGATGAAACCAAGCTGGATTATATATAGAAAGTAATGCCTCAGTTTTCCCTAAATGGCGATTTTAAGCCCTTTTTAATTTGAAGCTGGTGGTCACAGTGGAGCATTTAAAAAAATTAAATTAAAACTGATTAAAATGCAAATATTTATACATACCGGAGACCATTTTGAGGACTTGGGGTCCGAAGAATCTGAGTTTGCAATTTATTTTAAGCAAAAACGGCCGTTAGGGTGCGCTGTAAAAACATGGAAGGGCCATGAAGCGAAAATGCAGACAACAAAGTACATCCAGCAGCCGCGACGTTTTTGATAGAAATAAAAGCTTTTTGCTAAAAAAATAAACGGAAAATTCAGATTCCTTGTACCCAAATACCCCCAGAAAGGTCTTCCGATGGTATAATTATTTGCATTTGAATCACTTTTAAATGTTTTAAATGCTGCTCTGCGACTACCACTTAAAAAAAAAAACGATTAAAATCGCCAACCTGAGAAACCTGAGAAATAACTTTACTACATCGGTGGCTGGGTGGAAGATCGACTTATCTCTGCAGGCAGTTCGAAAACGTCCTTTCTCAGAAAATTAAAAAAAACGCCCTATTTCAGAATTTGGTTGAAGAACGCCCTATTTTAGAATTTGGTCGAAAAACGCCCTATCTCAGAATACGGTTCAAAAACGAGCTATCTCGGCTGCCGATTCAAAAACGCCTTATCTCAGTACATTTTTAATATATTTTCGTTTGAGGTAGGACGTTTTTGAACCGACAACTTTTTATGTTATGAAATCGGAAAAAATAGCCATCTTACAAATGCTTTTATCAAGATAAAAAATGCCCACGCACAAATATTGCCTCTGATAAAATTTTTATTAGGCAATGAAAATGACAGGCGGTAGGCAAAAACTTTTGA